CACTTATGTGCCACTGAGATTCCCTTGAACCACTACTTTAATGCTTATAACAGTGAAGTGGAATGACCTTTGAGAAATTACCTTGGACACATCCCGACTTCAATGAGCACTATCCGTAAACTCCTTCTGAAATTTGACAGTCAATTTTATTTTTTAACCACATCTAAGAAAAGGGATTATATAAAATCCAATAGTAGCCTTTTCCACTTGTAGTACAAAGAATTCCTTGCAACTTGCACATTGCTATCTTTAGTCATTTAACTTTACCCAGGGTCTGATTTCTTTCCTTTTATCTCACTAAGAATAGAGAACAAAAGACCAATTCCTTTCTAAGGAAGGTACAATTCAGGTAATCGTACTTATGTTAATATTCCGTGTCAATTTTCAAATACTACAAGTATTGATTTTTATATTTTGAAAACAAAGGGTGAAATACACACCAAAGGGATCAAAGAATCTTACTATTAGATGAAAACTTTGAAAGGAATGGCCTTTCCACAAACATAGGAAGATTATAAACATCAAATTCTATGATTTTTGGAAAATAAGTGTGTTTGTTACATTCACGGATTAATTTACTCATCATTCTATTTACTCAGGGTTTTTTTTTTTTCAATTCACCGATATCTTATTCAGTATGTGTGTGTGTGCTAGAAAAATGGCTGTCAGTGATATGAAAAAATAGATAAGCCATGACCATCCTGTCAGATGCTCTCCATCCAGTGGGAGATCTTGGTGTGCATATATTTTTATTGTATGCAAACTTTTAGAAGGAGTAAGTCGCCCTTGAAGGAGCTGTCATGTAATCAAGAGAGAAAGAGTTTAAAGAAGGCAGAGGTCATTGTGGTAAAGCTTCATCATAAAAACAGGAAAATCGTCATTCCAATGTTTCCATGAATCAGGTAATGTTAAACAAAACCTTGGTTTGAATTATTGCTAGAAGGTGACTCATAGATTAATACTATTATTGTCCATAGGAAGAGTCTAAGCAGACGCTTGTGAAGATGTTCTGTGTATAAACTCAATATATATTAGTCCAGTTTTTCTAATTTGCCATGAAGACTTAAGGGCTGCATATCGCATTACCAGTGAGTAAAGTAAACAGGCAGTATGTTTAAAGTTAAGGATTTAAAAAATACTTATTGAATATAAATTTTAAAAAATTACAATAAATAATATTATTTTGTATAATAGACTGAGTTATGTATCCTGAAATTTATATGTTCACTCCCTCATCCCAATGTGACTATATTTGGAGACTGGGCCACTAATTACTGTTCAGTGTGGTCATAAGGTTGGGACCCTCATCGCATGGGACTAGTTTTTACAGTCAAGGCAGAGACATCGAAGATCTTCCTCTTTCCCGGTAGGCACAGAGGAAAGGCTATGTGAGGACACAACACAAGAGTGGCCATCTACAGGTTATAAGAAGCCTGACCAGAAATCAGTGTTTGTGGTATCTTAACTTTGGATTTCCACTGTCTAGAAATGTGAGAAATAAATATCTAAACAACTGAACAAGCAGCTTATAGCATTTTGGTAATGGCAATTAGTAACATGTATTAGATTTTTCTGCATTTCATGTCGTGCATTTAGAACTTTAGAGGGATAATCTCATTGAGTCCTCAGGTCAGTCTGAGAAGATAGGCATTTCTGTGATACCTTATGTTGGTAGGTATAAGGTGCAGAGATCAGCTATCTAAAGAGTAAATCATTGCTCTTAGGATACAAGGACCATCGTTAATATGCTGCAGTTTTGATTTGTGAGTATATATTTGTTTGAATATTAAGAATCATTAAAGGTTTTTAACATCACATTTTAATCCCATATTTATCATATTATCTACACAAATAAAAATTCTAGTTAAATGTTTTCTAACGTAACTATTAATAAAGGTAATTTGTAAAGCTTATCATTTGCTGTAATTACACATCTGAAAAGAAACATAAAATATATTAAAACAGAAATGGGACAAAGGTGATTATAAATGTTGGTATTAAAGTTAATGTTTGATATCATAAATTTCAAAAGACTTGGTGACTATTTAAAGGGCCCATTATATGAACTCAACATGAAAATTTAAAAGGCGCAACACCCCCAAATAGACTTGCCAGTGATTAAAAAGAAAATATCAAAGAACTTGAAGGCTTGAAATGTAATAAGGGCCCAAATGAGTTAGTGATGGCTATCATAAAAATCTGGCAGGGCATTTTATTTATAATTTGTAATAAAACTGTCACAGGTTGAATTTATAAAAGCACTTATCTTAGAAAAATAAATCTATTTGCCAAGGGCAAGTTAATAACCTCTGCAGTTCATTTGAATACACCGACAAAGAGATGATTTGGCTAATGGAGCATTATAAGTCTATCTAGAAACGGACAGGATGCTGTGACAACACAAACAGAACAGTCCTGTGCTGGGAATGAACAGCAGGAATACTTTCTCCATTATCTGAAATACAAATGAATAATGTTAACCTTGCCCCTAAGGAACATGTACACAGAGAAAATTGTGTTCAAGTATTCATTTTAAGAAACAATTAAAAATATTTAAAATTGCATAGTAAAAGAACATGTGGATTTGTACTCTACCTAACTGTATGTATAACTATCTCCTAAGGATTAGAAGTCATTTATTTGAGGAATCCAAGGGAAACATATTTTACTTAATACATAGTTTTATAGATACTCATAAATGTTAAGCATATGCAATTTTAAACAACAATTCCTTGAAATAGAAGGTAATGTTAGCGGAACCACAAAAATCCACAGCTATACATAGTTTTAAAATAACTGGGGTGATAGCATGATAGAAATCCCTAAGCCCCTGCTGTCATAAGGAGGTTGGGCAAGACATTTAGCCATTTTGTGATTTTATTTTTCTAGAACGTTCATAGAGATTTCCAATGTAACTTTCTATGACCCTCAAAAATGCAAACACGGCAAGAGTTTGAGACCGCTTTTCTACCCTAACATAGAAAACAAAAATGAGCTGGGCATTGTGGTGGACACCTATAGTCCCAGCTATTTGGGAAGCTGAGGCATGAAGATTGCTTTAGCTCAAGAGTTTGAGGGTGCTGTGAGCTATGAGGACACCATGGCATTCAACCCCAGAGCAAAAAAGGGAGACTTTGTGCCAAAAACAAACAATCTTGTGTGTGGAATCACATAATTTTTTTTTTCCAATGTGATGTTGTATACAGAGTTAGTTATGGAACTTCTTTTATTTAAGACAGGGTCAGCAAACTTTTCCTTAAAGGGCAGATAGTCAACTCTACCAGGATACTGTGAATAGCTACAGGCAATATGTAAATACATAGGCTTGGCCACAGTTTTAAAAAGCTTAGTTTACAGTGACAGACAGGGGACATGATCTGGTCAGTAGATAATAATTTTCCAACCCAATCTGGAAGGAAAAAAGGTGTCTATATTCTCTACTTTTTCTATTTTCTCTTAAACAAAACTTTTAGAAATACGCATTCACATCAAAAGGACCATTCACCATGATTAAGTGAGATTTATCCCTGGGATGCAAGGATGGGTCAACATATGTAAAATGATACATGTGGCATATCACATGAACAGAATAAAGAACAAAAACCATACCAACGTCTCAATAAAAATAGGAAAGGCATTTGACACAATTCAACATCTTTCCATGTTTCCCTTCATGCTTCATCTTTTCCGTTGGAAATTTCCATCTATCTTCCAGCATCTTTTATTTAGCTTTTCCCTTTACTTTGATCATTCATAAACTCACCTTTCTAAGGCTTGTCTGCTATTTTAAAAAAATTAATACAGCAGAAAAACCTCATAAGTTACAGAATGTGAATAGCAAATCTATCCACTGGTTCTATTAAGGATGTTTTGAATTTTTTCATGCAAACAGTGCTTCTTTTGGCAATTCTTGGTGCCAAGGCCTAGTTCTGTTAATATTTCGCTAGGTAACTATGAAATCAACATCTCCATATTATCTGTTATCCAATGGGATTCATAATAGCATACATCTCAGTGGATTTCTGTGACTCTTAAATGAGCTAATGTATATACAATGAACTAAGCATATATTTTGCCAGTGCTCAAAATGAAAAGTATATAATATATAGTAACTATTATTATTACATTTATTAAAGTTAATAATTATCTCAGGTGTGGGATACATTAATTATAATCAAAGATATTTTTGTAAAATATATAATACAGCATAGCTCAGCAGAAATAAATATTTTATCACAAGTTAATATTAAGGGTTAAAGAAGTAGATCCATCAGGGATGGTTGAGGAAAGCTAAGTGATGGGGGATATTTTATAATAGATCCCAGCTCGGCGCCTGTGACTTAAGCGGCTAAGGCGCCAGCCACGTACACCTAAGGTGGCAGGTTCGAATCCCCAGCCCAGGCCCACCAAACAACAATGATGGCTGCAACCAAAAAAAAAATGGCCGGGCGTTGTGGTGGGCACTTGTAGTCCCAGCTACTTGGGAGGCTGAAGCAGGAGACTCGCTTGAGCCCAGGAGTTGGAGGTTGCTGTGAGCTGTGATGCCATAGCACTCTACCCAGGGGGTTAACTTGAGGCTCTGTCTCAAAATAAATAAATAAATAAATAGATCCCGAAGGAGGATGTAGTCTTTCCCTGGCAGACTGGGAAGAGTGTTGAGTACAGAGGATTAACAAGAAATATGGTTCCAGCAAAGGCGCTAATGCAGAAAAAGTGTGTAGGGACTTGCCTGCTTTAAGCCATCACCTTGAGTGAGAGTGGCAGCCGCAGGAGGGCTCAGATGGAAGGTGGGCTGGAAAATATGACACATTTGAAAGTTTCTTTTCATTGGTAGTATAGTTGCCTAGTATTTCATCCCAAGGTGGTATTTGCTCCCCAGAGTAAATAAACTTAAGGAAAGAACTTGCACACAGAGGAATTTATAGAGTGAGAACACTAAGGTCTCATTTTGTGGGCCAAGTGAAGTGAGAGCAAATGTGGCCCACATTCTGGATGTTACTGGGTTTGCTCCCTGGGGGGTGGGCTCAACCTTCTCCAGGTCCCCTCAGGCAAGCCTGGAGTAGAGGGCCAGACATCCTGCCTGCCTGCGGAAGAGGCATTGAACTAAGGAGCCTCACCTGGGCTGCCCTAGCCTCACATGTACTTGGCCATGATAACCGGGCAGGAGGAGACGGCAAATCGATTGTAAACTAAAATATCAGAGTTCTCATGAAAAAGAAGGGCCCTGAAATTCATGAAACGCTAAAAAGAGTAGTGTGAACTATGAAGGGACACGAACATTAAAATCTATTCCACATCTGGACTCACTTCACCCTAGTTCGTGAAGTACCATCTTTAACTTTCAGTTTTTGCCTCTGAAAGTGAAGAAAGAAATTGAATTCAGTGATTTTCCGGGTACCTTCTACCACCATGAAACTACAACTATTTGATCTGGTGGTAACAGAAAACAGAAAAGAGCTGAGAACCAAAACTCTCACTGTATCCATGTCATAGGAAAGGGACCTCAGATATTATCATTTTAATTCTTGAGTTATTTAAGAAAACAAAGAACATAAAGTTAAATTGATTCATGCTAAGATTTTCAGGCAAGGAAATAAAATATAAAGTCAAAGCTAGACTCATGGAGAAAGGCATATAGATATTATGGTACAAAATTTTATATTGTGCTATATGAGCCCAGAAGACCAGCAGGGAAAAAATAAATGGAGAGATAATCCCTGAAGGTTTAGAAGTCAGTGTAATGCCATGCTAATCTGGAATTATGACTACATAATGTTTTAGCTCTTTCTAATGTACAAAGTATTTTGTCTTTTATTATCCCATTTTGTGGGATAAACTGCAATAAACTTATGAGATACAATTTATCCCATGAAATTTTTCACTACTTGCTCAGCTTCTTGAAAGCTGGGCCTTTCGAATTCCGGTCCAGTAGCACTCCTGCCATGTAATCAGCAGCCACTGTGGGCTCAGAAATATTGTGCTGTGATTGAACTGATTTTGTTGATGATTTCTGTAGCAGTCTGTAAACTTTATTCAGGAAGGGGAGAAGAGGCAAGTTTACAGTTAAGTAATAACCAGGAGATCAATGCTTAAAGAGGGCTGGGAATATGGAGCTGCAAGGATGATTGAAATAAACGTTCAGAAAGTTTTTACTCCTGTCAGTCCTGTCTGGGACTGGTGACATGGGGCATGGGGAGTTTGGCGTGCAGAAATGTTGCTTGAGTGTGTAGTGTGCTTGCTGCTGCTCTACACCAGCTGCCAACATTTAATAAAAAGAGATTTTATATAACTTTTAAGTTATACAAGGTTTAAGTTTATATAACTTCTAAAATTTTTAGGAGATCTGGAACCAATTTGCTGGAAGTAAACGGCAGTGCCCTAACCAGTAAAATAGTGCCTTAGTTTGCTCAAAGTCCTAATTACTCCCTATTGTCTCTTAAACTTGATCTTCCTAATACATTCTCTTTACTTTTTTGACCCCTGGTTACATCTGAGTTTGCAAAACATTTTTAGAGCCTGAGATTCTTGAAGATTATCAGTGTATTTTTTTTTTTTTTTTTTTTTTTTTTTTTGTCGGCAATAAGCATTTCAAAATACTGCATATGGGAGAAGCTAAGAAAAGCTAACATCCAGCCTTTGGAACAACCCCAGGTAAATAAGTAAGGTGAAACGTGGTTATAAAATGGAGAATAAATAAGAAATCAGAAAAATAAAGCCCAGTGCTCTACCTAAGCAGACATTCAACTATGCTGAAGTCAGTGAAAACACTTGTTTTCCCCTTTTTACATACTTTTATTTTCTTTGCCCAGAAAAGTTGGCCTTCTGTCTTTTGAAAAAAGTCAGATATTCACTGAAATTCAAACTTTTAAAATGTAATATCAACCTTCTGGCATTACCTCAAAGTAAATTATCTGGTCAATGAATTGAAGGGTGAAAAATGGGAAGCAAGTGAAATTTTATTTAGCAAGTCACTAAAGAGTCATCTTCTTTACCACAGACCGAATTATAATATTTAATAGGCATTACATGTTCTGATAGTAGCTTTTAAATAGCTACTGTATACCTCACTGTAGTATAAACTATAAGGCAATATACGATTAGCAGATATAAAGGAAAGAAAACTGAAGCCTTAAATAGAAATAGAACCTAAATTGTGGTTCCATTTGTCAGGGGTTAATGATTGAAATGATCTAATAATTCTTTCACATAACAGGCTTCCACATGTGACCATAAGCTTACTCTGCATAAAGTCACTGGAATACAAATAATTGCTAAGATTATTTTATTATTTAAAAGATGACAGGGTGGTACCTCAAAGGAGTAGGGCATCAGCCCCATATGCCAGAGGTGGCAGGTTCAAACCCAGCCCCAGCCAAAAACTACAAAAAAGACAAAAAAAGAAGAGTGATGCCATACATTTCCTAATAATAGTAGTTAAAATGAATCCCCCCAAAAGCTACCTTTTCTAAACATTTCCTATCTTATTCCTCACTAATTCTATAATGATCTTTCTCAATTACTACCTCCTATGATTATAAAATATAAATAGTATACAGGGAACTGCATTTTAAAATAGACTATGCCAATTAATATACATTACAACACATATAATCAAATGAAAAATTATGCATATAAAACTTTTTTTCTACTATGAAATGAGGACTTAATAAAATGATAAACAGAACAATTAAAATAGGTTTAAGCTCATTTTAATTGCATATTCTTTCAGGTTAAAGTACGTTGTTATTTAGATATGATTGTAGTATGTAGTATGTTGTTACTTTATGTAGATGTGATTCCATATATTTCAAATTATATTTCATTCCTGTATATATTATAGTTTGTTGCATATACCCATAGGCAGTGTTGTACAGCAAAATAAAATAATGCAACAGTAAAATAAATCTAAATTTTGAACATAACTTTAATATCTATGAGCAAGTTTAGTTCAGGCAAACTATACGAAATATTATCTGATGGGCAGAAATGTATTCCACCCTTAAAATTATATAAGAAATTAAAATCTTGGTTCAGAAAAATGCCTCAGTGCTCTGCAGGTAAAGGAGTTCTGGAAGGGTATCCCAGGGTTTCTACCACCATTTCAAACAGAATAGCTCTCTTTATGTTCTGTGTCAGAATTAATAGGACGCTTTCATCTGCCAAAAGAAAAGACAACGAGTTTCAGTTGAAAAGAAAAGTTTGAGCACAGCTAAGCTTTCCTTCACACTTCCCTTCTTATTGATAAAAATTCTGGCTCTAAGTAAATTAAATTCCCAAATCATATAGTTATCTAGTTGGTCATTCCCTTACTCCTGGTTCAGAATCTTTTCTACTATAAAATATTGTAAAAATTAGTCTCAAATACCCACTTTTTTTTCTATACTCACTTTCATTGTTTCTTTATATACTATCATAAGAAAATCATGGGAAAAATGGGACATGAAAGAAGAATTACTATGTGGTTCTTTCTACTGGATCCTTAAAATTTGTCTCTGTCTTTCACTGTTTGTGAGCTATTCATAACTCTGTAAATTGTAGAATACTAATAGAAATGCAAGTTGTATCTCTTGTCAACCTACTTGATTATTATTTGATGAATAGGGACCAGTTTGGCATCGGTTTGGAGACACATTTAAGCATTCTAGTATGATCCTTTGAAATCTCCTTTGAAATAGTTATGTCTTCTTCCTAGATCCTTCATTAATTAATTAAATAAATCAAGAATTTATCTTTTCAAAAAATATTACTTGTACTATCTATTCTTTAGTCTATTACATTTAGGCTTCTACCCTTCCCTCTCAAACAAAGGGGATCCTGGAATATTTCTAGTTTTCTCCAGGTAATCAATGCAAAGGGCTGTATTTAGTCTTGCTGAAATTTGACCTCTGTGAATTTTGGTTATATCACCAATCATTTTAGAAACTTTTCAACCTCCAACATCTACAATATCATTCTTTATTTATTATTTTCTTGTCTACTTCCACGGTTACTTTCTCTCATAACAAATAGTATCAGCCCTATGTGATTTGTAGAAATTACGGTTTATGTTCACTTTCCGGATTTCCTAAGCTTACCATGTATATCCACAGCCATCCAAGGTCATGTGCATGGACCTCATTAATGTTAAAGTTCCACATGTATATGTCTTTGGCCCTTATCTGGACCAGCACTTACACTTTTCTACAGAGTGATACTTTCTATGTTTTCTTTTTTTAATATACATAGAAAACTCCCAAATGTTTTTACTACCTCTGAAACGTTTTAGGGATTCTGAATAATCCTGTCACTTGCTTTTATCAATAAAGATCTCTGTTGCCCACCATTTCGCATCAGAGTGCTGTGGACTAAGACAGACCTAGATTTTACTCTTGAGAGTTTATAAATTAGGCTGACACAGATAGATTCATGGATGTTGCCATCAGACCCAAGACTCCTAGGTCATAAACAAAGGACTTTTTTACTCAGGTTTAGCAAGTAGCATGACCTTCTCACTTCAGAGGTCCTCTTTGTTCCCCAAGATCAAGGGAGGAGAAGGTGTGGACTTAAGGTTAGGTCAATTCTGTGTATACAAAGAGTTTGCAACATAGCAAGGAACCTCTAGCCTTTATAAGGGCTGAAAGCAAACTGCCCTCTCTTAGACCCAGATAGAGACGTTGCCTTTACTATACTAAACTGTAAACAAATCTGTTTTCCCCTGATCAGCTGGGATATACTACCTCAAACTTCCAGGGCAGTTCACCATATTGAGAATATAGTTGAGAAAAAATGGCATCAGAGCCTCTGCCTACAAGATGCACAGATGCATGTGCTGTCTATTAGAACCAACTCGCAAAAAATATATGTCCTAAATCCTTGAATAAACATTTTTGAGCTTTCTGTAACTGTTTCACCCTTATTTCTGTATTTCTTTGCTGCATCAAAGCATGCAGTGAATAAACTATGTGCTTCATACATAAGAAACTAATTGTGGAAAACTAAATAAATTATTAATTACTACACCATGATGAAGAAGTAGAGATTCAAATGAATTCATTATAGTTTTTGATCTCATGTTCTCTTAGTTGAAATGTTTGGCATACTTTCTTTGCTGTTTTTCCAGAAAGAGGAAGAAATTTAAAAGGAAAAATACCAATAACCCCAG